ATAAAGCTTTCCATATTTTCACATTTTTCCATATTTTCCGTAAATACTTTCCTTATATACGAAATGACTTCCGTATCTTTCCATGTCTTCCATCAGAAATTTTTTGTATGTCAATATATTTTCCGTATTCTTCCATTTTTGCCTTAAAAAGCTTTCCGTATATGCCATTACACTTCGGTATGCTTCCATAAAAATTCATATCTTTTCCGTAGAGCTCATAAGGAAATCGCACGGAGTCCATATGTTTTCCGTAATATTTCATACGGAACGTTTCAGTAGGATATACATTCCTCTCGAGGGATAGTGGCAATATACCTGTCATATTTTGAGTGTGCTTGCCAACTGTGCTCCTCCCCATTCATATTCTTCTAGTTACTTCAATCTCGTGATTCAGCTCCGCGGTTATTACCTGCCCTAAGTAGACATACTCTTTTACAACTGGAAGTGCACTATTACCTCTCTCGAAGAGCTGCTCTTTTCGGAGGTTGTTGTACATTAGTTTCGTTTTCTGCAGATTAATTTTAAGACCCACCTTTCTGCTCTCCTTGTCTAACTACATAATCATGAGTTGCAATTTGTCACCTGAGTTACTCAGCAATGCAATGTCTCTCCATTAACTCTTATCTCTAACTGTTCCCATTCTAGGCTTCTGAAAATCTCCTGTAAGAATGCGGTAAATAACATTGGGGAGATTGTGTCCCCCTGCCTTACACCCTTCTTGATTGGTATTCTGTTGCTTTCTTTATGAAGCACTATGGTAGCAGTTGATCCTCTGTAGATTTCTTCCAGGATATTTATATATGCTTCAACGGCGACCTGATTCCGCAGTGTCTGCATGAGGGCTGATATTTCTAATAAATCAAACGCGTTCTCGTAATTTATAAAGGCTATGTATAGTGGTTGGTTATATTTTGATAGTATGAATGTGGTCGATTGTTGAGTAGCCTGTTTGAAATCTTGCTGGTTCCTTTGGTTGATTGAATTCTAATGTTTTCTTAACTCTGTTAGCAATTACCTTTGTAAATAGCTTTACACTATGGAGAGCAAGAAGATCATCTTGCAATTCTTTTTGTCCTTGTCATCTTCTTTCTTATGTATTAAAGTGATAGTGACATTCTTCTAAGACTCTGGTACTCTTCCCGTTTGGAGACACCTCGTAAACAGGGCGGCTAGTTTTTTTAACACAATCTCTCCTCCATCTTTCAGCAGATCTGATGTTACCTGATCCTCACCAGCAGCTTTGCCTCTTTGCATTCTCTCTAAGGCTTTTCTGACTTCTTCTGTCATTACTGGTGTGGTTTCATCTGGTTACTGCTAGATCCTGTAGTATTAGGGTAGTGGTTGTCCCGGCTATTGTACAGATCCCTGTAAAACTCCTCTGCTATTTTAACTATCCTATCCATATTGGTAGTTATTTAGCCTTCTTCGTCCCTTGGTGCAGACATTCAATTTTTCCATATCCCAAGATTCCTCTTCACTGCTTTGACGCTTCCTCCGTTTTTAAGATCGTGTTCAATTCTCTTCATGTTATTCCTTCTTACATCGGATAACTTACGCTTGATAATTAACTTCGATAGCTCTGACAGTCCTATTCTGTCTGTTGTGCTTGAAAATTTCATGTTTTGACACTTCCTAATGAGATTCTTCGTTTGCTTGGAAAGGTTACCAGTGTCCTGTCTAACTACCCTGCCTTCAGCTTCCACTGCACACTCCGTAATGATACTTGTCACATAATCATTCATTGTATCTACGCTAAGGTTGGTTTCCTGAATAGGAGCCGAATACCTGTTATGAAGCTAGCCTCTGAATTCCTGTACTTTCCCTCTCAGTACTAGCTCATTGATTGGCTTCTTGCGTATCAATTTCTGTCGTTTCTTCTTCAAGTCTAGGCGAATTAGAGACCGTCACTGCATCGTACATGGTCACTGCATCGTACCCTGCCAACCACTTCCACATCCTGCACGATGCCTGGGTGTACACTCAGTAAAAAGTCTATTTCGTTCTTATTTTCACCATTAGCGCTTCTCTACGTTCACTTACGGTTTTCTCGTTTTCGGTAGAAGGTATTCAATATCGGTAAATTATTGCGTTCTGCAAATTCTACTAGTAGCTCTCCACTGGCATTTCTAGTACCGATCCCATGATTTCCCACTGTCTGGTCTCCACCCTTGCTTTTCCCTACCTATGCATTAAAGTCTCCCATAAATATAGTATACTGTGTTTTTTCTTTACTCATTGCCCATTCCTCGTCTTCATAGAATCTTGCAACTGAAGCATCAGCATGGCTGGATGTACGCGCGTAAGCTTGTATCACCTTCATTTTGTATCTCTAATTGAGTGTATTTACGTGACCTACCACCCTTTCAATATTGCTATGGTAATTCTCTATGTTTTCAGCTATGTTTCTGTGAATCAGAAACCCCACTCCGAGTTCTCCTCTCTCAGCTAAGCCCCGATAGCAAAGGACATGCCCATTCTGTAGCACCATATAGGCCTCAATCGTCCTCGTAACCTCAGTGAGCCCTATTATATCCCATTTAACACCCTCTAGCTCCTCGAATACTATGGCTAGACTTGTCTCACTAGATAAGGTTCTAGCATTAAACGTTGCCAATTTCAGGTTTCAATGACAGTCTTTCCGAATCTAAAGATTCTTAGCACCCTCTGCTGCGTTGCAGATCTGACCGCCGCCGTGGTCAGTTGCTTCGCAGCTGCTGGAGACTGAGTGCCGTGCGGTAATTGACGTATGTATGTGGAGGTAGTGGCCAGATACTGCACCAGGGTCGCCAATCCTTCTCTGGTGAGAACCCCCCCCCCCCCGTTAGCTCGGGTTCATGGTTTCACTACACACCAAACACCTGCTTACGCCGATGCCCCTGTGGACCTAAATAAATCAATGTATATATATATCTATATATACATATATATATATATATATATATGTGTGTGTGTGTGTGTGTGTGTGTGTGTATGTGTGTGTGTGTGTGTGTGTGTGTGTGTGTATAGTGTGAACGAAACACGATGTTCTAGTACTATTGCCTGCATTGATGCCAGGGACCAGACTTTTTCAGGCCCTATGTGTAGCGGTCCGACAATATGGCCTTTGACAACCATATATAAATGTTCTGACGAAGGCCGGTTCCCGGCCAGAACGTGGACAATGAAAGATCCTTTTTAGTTCCCTCGTTCATTTCACTTCAGCACCTATATTACTACCAAATCTGGGAAGACCTTCAAGATATATGACTATGCCATGGTGGTCGTTGCACGTCCAAAAATATTTTTATTTAAAGTAGTCCCAGGAGATAGCAGGCTGTACTGAACAGCATATTGGTGATGTCCTGGCAGTCAGTAAGCCAGGCCAGCGAACCTTGGCTGCAGTACAGCGAATGTCCAAAACTGATTAAAAGATTGTCGTTTTGTATACATAGCAAGTAATATATGAAGTTTAAAGTACTAAAAGCAGATTTGATTATAAAAGAAGACGTACTAGAACGCTCCTGACTTATTGAAAATCTCGCGTTTTTTAACATGCAGTGTCTTCGCACAGCACACGGGCCTCCAGTCTCTTTTGCCTCCCCCGAAATGCGATCATCCTGATCCCAATTTCACTGAAACATGCTCAGCTTACTCCAAAGACACAGCTGATTTCTGAACATGAGAAAGCATCTCAAATAAATGTAAACTTTTTTCCTACGACTGTCGTAACGTTGCACCGTAAGTTTCAACGTGAACATCAGGTGTATAATCAGCTGCATGCATTGCCTTACTGGAAAGTGAACACCGCTCTAAACACATGTCGACTAAGTTACGGCCCATGTATACAACATTGGCCGTAACGCCAGCTCAATCGCGAATACAAAATCATTGTTTAGCATAAGCAAACACCTGCTTAGTTGATTCAGGTACCGATATCCCTTCAAGACGTCGCAGGACATGGCCTGTAAGTAGTAAACACAATTTTGTTATTGGCAGCAAATAGTATTTCGATGGGCAGACAAGAATAACCCTCTCCCTTTTTCGATTTTGACTACCCGACGTCATGCTGCTTCGTTCTTTTGCAGAAACTGCGGTGTGGGTGCACGAAGTATCACATTCTACAGGGTTAGAATGAATTCGTCGTCGCCCTAGTAGGTATTTTTGTGTGTGTGTGTGCGTAATTGGGACCCATTGAAAAGAAAGTGTCCGTCCGCATCATATTTTCAGCCAGATGATTATCATAAGAGCTTCAACTGACAATAGTCTCTTTAAGCTCTATAAACGAGGTTTTCGAAACCGCTCGTAATTAAGATCTATTTTTTTCTTCGTGTAAGATTGAAAATAAGTTTTCATATTAAGTCAATAATCACTCCTTTGTTTATTTTCCCAACGTTTCATTTTCTCTTTACGGGGTCCCGAGGACTCGAATGCAACCAAATAAAACTTGTGTTCAACGTAGCTCTGACGCCAGGACAGTGCTGCAGGCTCCTTTTGCTGCTTTGGTGTGATGCGCACGCGCGGATAAAACTTAATACGACGCAGCAAAGCTTTAAATCGCAACGCTCTGGTGAACTACGACAAGCCTGCCTTTGTGACAGCGTGAGTGCCATGTCACACGTACAATGACCATGAATGAGGTCGCTCTACACATAACAATTGATTAAGTACCTCCTAAATTCATGCAAACTGAAGGCCTTACCAAAGGCGTGTATCATGTACACACAAAGACCTCAACGACAAGCCTGCCTTTGTGATATCGCGACGACCATGTCGCGCATACAAGCACCATGAGGTTGTTGTACACATGGCAAATGATTGAGTACCTCCTAAATTCATGCACAATGAAGGCCTTGCCAAAGGCATATATTATGTACACACACAGACCTCATGCATTCTGCGTATCAACTTGTGTTCACCGCTATAAAAAAGAACTGGCTAATGAAGGCGAGAAATTTCTATGTTATATATGGAAAGTACCCGTCAATATTAAGGCAATAATGTGATGTATAGAAATGATATACCATACTCCAGTGAAGCGTTCCAGTTTTGGTGACTTGAGATTCAAGGCAGGTATAGTCCTACAACGTGTGTTACAATACCAAAAGATATGTCCTCTCAGAAAAAAATGTTAGGCTTGTGATTACAGTAGCGTATGAGGAAATAACGGAGCAACGATTCGCATCAGACAGGTTCAGAAGTCTTATGTACCAGTATATATAACAAAGCGACATAAGTTTTGTGATGATCACAAGCTAGAGCTTATTTTTCAAAATAGTGTCACGGAGTTTGCTCTGGTTCTATTCCAGGTATCGGCCTTGCTGATTCCGGGAAATCTCTGTCTGTAAATCTGGTTATATTTCAGCTGTCGGCTTTGTTGACACTATGAATCTCTTATGTGTCAGTGCGTTTCTTACTCGTCTTTTTTCTTCAGAAAACTTTTTTAGACAGCACTTTCAAATAATCCCTCTACATCTGACCTTCTCCCATAATCTAAGTAGATTCACAAAGCAGTGAAAATTGTTCACAGGCTTTTGAATATGAGCCCAAACTTTATTTCTAACTCAAATATAATTGTCGAATGTGGTGCTTTTTCAAATCTTGCATTACCGACAATATGTTTTTCTTCCTTGTTAAATTCCTTGTTAAATGTTGTCTACTTAAAAATGTTCGTACATTAAAATACTATAGAGCATTGTAACGAGCTAAACACTGACGCTCTGATGCTGTCATGGTTGGAAATGTGCATTGAAAACGTCATGTGTTCTCTGCTTCTGTGAGACAAAAACAAAAGTTACGGATGGACATGCTGTAAACCAGGCCAAAATAATCTTACTTACTGAATAAAATGAATGACATCACCCTGTTTAGCAAACACATTGT